TGGACTTGGACAGAGGACAGGAGCTAGAGTTTTATAATTGTTTACATCATATTTACTATGAAATACAGAGGGTAGAAATTACAGTGAAATTGCTGGGTTATTTACAAATATACGAGAGAGAACTAAGTTGGGGGACGAGAGCTAGAGCTCAGTAACTGTCTTGATCTTATTTACTATCTTTGAAGTATGACGGCTTTAAATTTCAGTGAAATTGCTGGGTTATTTACAAATATACGAGAGAGAACTAAGTTGGGGGACGAGAGCTAGAGCTCAGTAACTAACTTGATATTATTTACTAACTTTGAAGTATGTCTGCTTTAAATTTCGGGAAAATTGATCTGTTACTAACGATCTTGTACAAATGAACTAAGCCGGGGACAAGAGCTAGAGTTTGATAATTGTTTGGATTTACTAAACTAAGTCTGAAATATAGAGGGTAGAAATTTCAGTGAAATTGATGGGTTATTTACAAATATACGAGAGAGAACTAAGTTGGGGGACGAGAGCTAGAGCTCAGTAACTGACTTGATATTATTTACTAACTTTGAAGTATGACTGCTTTAAATTTCGGAAAATTGATCTATTACTAACGATCTTGTACAAATGAACTAAGCCGGGGACAAGAGCTGGAGTTTGATAATTGTTTGGATTTACTAAACTAAGTCTGAAATACAGAGGGTAGAAATTTCCCGGAATTCGAATAAGTATTAACGAAGATGTGTGAGGGAAGTAAGGTGGAGGACAAGAGCTGGAGCTCGGTAACTAAATTACTGTATTGAACTACGTTTGAAATATGATTATTTTTTAATTTTAGAGGGGTAGGACTGTTAGTATTCATTATAGGGCATGGGACTAAGGCTGGATAGGAGCTGAAGCTCGATACCAAATTATTGTATTTTAATTCGTTTGAAATAGCTGTGTTTTAAATCTCGAAGAAAATCATTGGATACTAGAGAAGATGTATTAGTAAAAACTACTCCATGGCTTTGTTTATATAAGTAAAACTGAAATAGTTTTAATGAAAGGAACTATGAATGAATGAACAATATGAAGGAGAGAGAGAGAGAGAGATAGAGAGAGAGACAGAGAGACAGAGAGACAGAGACATAGACAGATAGAGAGAGAGAGATATGGAGACAGAGAGAGAGAGAGAGAGACAGAGAGAGAGAGAGATAGAGAGAGAGAGAGAGATAGAGAGAGACAGGGAGACAGAGAGACAGAGAGAGACAGGGAGACAGAGAGAGAGAGAGAGATAGAGAGACAGAGAGACAGAGTGTTACGAACCCGGATTCAACGTCCGAGCCTGGAGCAGTGACAAACACGCCATCTGTGGGTCAGCTCCCGAAACCCCCGCCAAACGAACGACGACACCTAGTGAGGACAGCGTGTACTGGCCTCAAGGACCAGTTTCCAGTCTGGTTCAGCGCTCAACACCGCCGCTCCTGACCTCTGGTGAAGTGGTGCTCCGACGACAGCACCATCTATGGAGTGGATATGTCGGGCGTTTGTATCTGAGCCTGTGAGTGTGGTGTATTAGTGTCCCGGTTATTAATGACGTGTCTGCTTACAGAGCCAACCTGGGACCACTGTGTTGAAGGTGTAGTCAGTCTACCCGAGGCAGCCAGTCTCCATACAGTAAAGTTTGCTGCAGCTGTTGTGACGTCGTCCCCCCGGAAGAACACTGTGGTGTGTTAAGCCTGCCAGTGGAGTGGCAGTGGAAGGATTTACCCGGGACCGACGGTTGGAGACGATAATCCACTGGGGTATTGAGGACAGGAGGGTGATTGGTGATATCACACGAGACTCCTGCCAAGGGCGTACCCCTTTTATCGTTCGTGGAGTGGCCGTACCAGCCTTGGTGGCTCAGTACCTGCCAGCAGACCTGCTGGACGTGTGGTTGACGGCCTCCACGACGGTGCCCCCAGTGGACCTGTGTTGTGGCTGACCTGTGGCCAGGGTAGGCTCGGCGTTCTCAGAGGACACGTCTTGAGGCCACGAAGAAAGCACCAAGGACTCAGCACCTAACTGAGGATTACCAGAGTCTTGAGATTATCCAGAGTCTTCAGCAGAAGACTACCTTGTGAAGAATCCCCTTGTCAAGTGTTAATATCCCTCCCCCTTGTGTACTCTTTTATTCTATATATTTAATCGGTGATGGTGTTAATTATAATATTAAGTTCTTAACTTTCTTTCCCTACTCCCTTTAAGTTACTTGCGTCACGGATCTCATCCCTTGATAGCCTCTACTGGCTTGGGAACGGATACCAATATCTTCCTCTAACGACATCAGAGCAAGAACCCCGTTGCGTCCCGAGAGGGCCGTAACACAGAGACATAGACAGATAGAGAGAGAGAGACATGGAGACAGAGAGAGAGAGAGAGAGACAGAGAGACAGAGAGAGAGAGAGAGAGACAGAGAGACAGAGAGACAGAGAGAGAGAGAGAGAGAGAGAGAGAGAGAGAGAGAGAGATAGAGAGACAGAGAGAGACAGAGAGAGACAGAGAGACAGAGACAGATAGAGAGAGAGTCGCGGACCCTGGCGAAACGCAATGGTAATGGGTGCCTCACCACTTCCGGTGTCGGAGGAGAAATACCCGGACTAGTTGGAAAGTTGATCAGTTGGGCTCCAACCTGCGACCAGTACGCTTACCCCGTCACGGACATTGAAAAACGCTTAAGGTAATGGTACACACCCCTCCTGCAGGAGACTTTGCCCCCATCCTCACACACTTAGCACTTCCTGTAGGGACGTTAATGGTTTGTCTAACCACATAATGGCCTGCTGCAGTCTCACAACGAGAGTGACTTCACTCTTTCTTGACCCGAACACAGAAAAAGCCAGGTGCAGTCCCGTGTCTTTTCCATGCGTTTCTTACAACACCACTTAAGGCCTTCCTGTAGGGGAGTCAATGGGTTTGTCTAACCACATAATGGCCCAGAGCACTCTCTCCCGACGAGGGGAAGCTCCATCCAGCCCCCACCCAAAACAACATAACAGGCTGTGTTGCCTTCTCCTCACATCTACACACTAACTCACGATCAACAAAATTATTATTATCGCACACTGAATTAAGGCTATGCAAAAACACGCATACATATTCTTTTACTCCTTCCTCCCTCTTCCTTCTATTTTCTTACTCTATCACTTACTCTACCACTTACTCTCACACTACTCTCATCTTTCCTGACCACTTACCATAACCCCCGAGGACTAGACCCGCGCGGCGGAGGGGGGGTTGCACCTGCTCACCCACCACTCAAGACCGACACGCTCCAAACTTCCGGGAAATTCCCATACCCCCTGTGACTAGACACCGGCGCTGCGACTACGACGTCACGCACCACCTGGCACTCATCAACATAACTTACTCTCTTTCATGACCACTTACCCAAACACAACACGCTCACACGCGTCCGAAACACGCCAAAACTTCCGGGAAATTCCCCCAAAACCCTGTGTGACTAGACACCTGCGCACCACCTGTCGGCTGGCACTCCATGGAGTGCCACCTGACAGCAGGTGCGCGCGGTTCTAGTCACACTTTACACTACTGAACTCTCAACAGCCAGACAGTACTCACCTGCCCATCAGAACTCTCCACAGTCAGACAGTACTCACCTGCCCATCAGAACTCTCCACAGCCAGACAGTACTCACCTGCCCCATCAGGACTCTCCACAGCCAGACAGTACTCACCTGCCCCATCAAAACTCTCCACAGCCAGACAGTTCTCGCCTGCCCATCAGAACTCTCCACAGCTAGACAGTACTCTCCTGCCCATCAGAACTCTCCACAGCCAAACAGTACTCACCTGCCCATCAGAACTCTCCACAGCTAGACAGTACTCTCCTGCCTATCAGAACTCTCCACAGCCAAACAGTACTCACCTGCCTATCAGAACTCTCCACAGCTAGTCACGCACCACCTGGCACTCATCAACATAACTTACTCTCTTTCATGACCACTTACCCAAACACAACACGCTCACACGCGTCCGAAACACGCCAAAACTTCCGGGAAATTCCCCCAAAACCCTGTGTGACTAGACACCTGCGCACCACCTGTCGGCTGGCACTCCATGGAGTGCCACCTGACAGCAGGTGCGCGCGGTTCTAGTCACACTTTACACTACTGAACTCTCAACAGCCAGACAGTACTCACCTGCCCATCAGAACTCTCCACAGTCAGACAGTACTCACCTGCCCATCAGAACTCTCCACAGCCAGACAGTACTCACCTGCCCCATCAGGACTCTCCACAGCCAGACAGTACTCACCTGCCCCATCAGAACTCTCCACAGTCAGACAGTTCTCGCCTGCCCATCAGAACTCTCCACAGCTAGACAGTACTCTCCTGCCCATCAGAACTCTCCACAGCCAAACAGTACTCACCTGCCCATCAGAACTCTCCACAGCTAGACAGTACTCTCCTGCCTATCAGAACTCTCCACAGCCAAACAGTACTCACCTGCCTATCAGAACTCTCCACAGCTAGACAGTACTCACCTGCCCATCAGAACTCTCCACAGCCAGACAGTACTCTCCTGCCTATCAGAACTCTCCACAGCTAGACAGTACTCTCCTGCCTATCAGAACTCTCCACAGCCAAACAGTACTCACCTGCCTATCAGAACTCTCCACAGCTAGACAGTACTCACCTGCCCATCAGAACTCTCCACAGCCAGACAGTACTCTCCTGCCTATCAGAACTCTCCACAGCCAAACAGTACTCGCCTGCCTATCAGAACTCTCCACAGCCAGACAGTACTCTCCTGCCTATCAGAACTCTCCACAGCCAGACAGTACTCACCTGCCCATCAGAACTCTCCACAGCCAGACAGTACTCACCTGCCCATCAGAACTCTCCACAGCCAGACAGTACTCACCTGCCCATCAGAACTCTCCACAGCCAGACAGTACTCACCTGCCCATCAGAACTCTCCACAGCCAGACAGTACTCACCTGCCCATCAGAACTCTCCACAGCCAGACAGTACTCACCTGCCCATCAGAACTCTCCACAGCTAGCCACTGGTCTGAGATAAACTCGTATCTCTCCTCAGTCTGGATGTCCCTGATGATGATGCAGCTGAGGAACCAGGAGGCGTTGGGCCCCTTGCCGCTGTTGTCGTGCCACACCCGCAGGAACTGTAGCGGCCCCAGCGGCCTGGTACACAAACATTGTCACACCAAGATACTTGGTAAATCTGACATAACACTGCTGTCAACTTAATTGTAATTCTAAGTGATTCACAATAATGAAATACATTAAGCAATTAGAACAGAACAAGACAATTAAACAGTAAAACAAGCACACAGTAGCTGTATTTGAGGGGACCTAAACATTCCCTCTAATGCGTTATGTGTGGTTTCCTCGGAGGCTAAGGGACCCCTTCTTCCAGCCAGAGGTGGTACTTAAACAATTTAAATTATTTTGTGCTAAATAAATTACATTGGAATTCTCACCATCCACCCACCTCTACGCTACCACCATCCACCCACCTCCACGCTACCACCAACCACCCACCTCTACGCTACCACCATCCACCCACCTCTACGCTACCACCATCCACCCACATCCACGCTACCACCATCCACCCACCTCCACACTGCTACTATCCACCACCACACTACCACCTTCCACCCACCTCCTCACTACGACCATCCACCCAATTCCACAATACCATCATCCACCTATCTCCACACTACCACAATCTACCCACCTCCACACTACAACCATCCACCCTACTTAAACACTACCACCATGCACTAACCTCAACACTACCACTATCCACTCACCTCCACACTACCACCATCAACCCAACTCCACACTGCCTCCATCTATCAACCTCCACACTACCACTATCCACCCACCTCCACAATACCACCATCCACTCACCTACACACTTCATCCACCCACCTCCACATCAACATCATCCACCCACCTCCACACCACCACCATCCACCTCAGCACCACCTCCACATCACCACCACCATCCACCCACCTCCACACCACCACCATCCACCTATACACCACCTCCACATCACCACCACCATCCACCCACCTCCACACTACTACCATCCACCTATACACCACCACCCACCTTCATACGACCACACACCTCCACACCACAACCCACCACCACACCACCACCCATCTCCACACCACCACCACCACCTTCCACCCACCTTCACACTACCACCACCCACCTCCACACCACCACAACCACCTCTACACTACCACCACCCACATCCACACCACCACCACCACCTCCACACTACCACCCACCACACCACCACCACCCACCTCCACTCCACCACACCGTCACACCACCACCACTCACCACCACCCACCACCACACCACCACCATCACACCACCACACCACCACCACCCACCTACACTCCACCACACCGTCACACCACCACCACCCACCTTGGCACAGCCATAACGAAGACATCAACGTCACCCTTGCGGAGGATCTTGCGCCTGTCATCACCAAGAGTGCGGACGTCCGTCTCGTCGCTGTCACCTGAGACGATGAACTGGACGACGGAGTCGGTCTGGGCGCCCTTCAGGTTGCCAGTGAAGACCAACATCTCGTACAGGTACTTGTCCTCCACCTTGTTATCGGGCAGAGGCGTCGCCCCCAGCTGCGTCAAGGATCACAGTTAATCACATGTATTTATTGCTCATTCTTGGGTTATTCATCCTTGTGAAAACAAGATACAAAGCTGTACCATCGCATGCCATGAGGCTTCCAGACCAGATTCGTCAGACAGTTGTTGAATGATGTCTTTGTTTACAGTTATTAAACAATTTATAAGGTCCCATGAACCAGGAGCTGTTTAGAACAACAATAATATTTGACTCTGAAGTTCTTACCCTCACTTAATAATATACATAAACAAAGCCCCAAAGATTGAGAGAAGATGTACATGTTTCGTAAGTACTTCATGATTAATCCGGCCTCAGGCGCTCATGATGCAGCTGTGATCCGAAATATTGTTTGCGTGTTAATAAACTACCTTATAGTCCAGGTACATAGGAGGACAAGGAGCTGGGATACAAGCACAAGGAGCTGGGCTAGGAAGAAAAGGAGCCGGAATAGGAGGACAAGGAGTTGCGATAGACGGACAAAGAGCTGGGATAGGACAATGAACCGGGATAGGAGACCTAGGGACAGTTGAGAGGCGGGCCGAAAGAGCAGAGCTCAACCTCCGCAAGCACAACTAGGTGAATACAAATAGGTGAATACACACACACACACACACACTCACACACACACACACACACACACACACACACACACACACACACACACACACACACACACACACACACACACACACACACACAGATATGGAATGCATTAGGGGGTGATGTGGTGGAGGCTGACTCCATACACAGTTTCAAGTGTAGATATGATAGAGCCCAATAGGCTCAGGAATCTGTACACCTGTTGATTGACGGTTGAGAGGCGGGACCAAAGAGCCAGAGCTCAACCCCCGCAAACACAACTAGGTGAGTACAACTAGGTGAGTACACACACACACACACACAACTGATTGACAGTTGAGAGGTGGGCCGAAAGAGCAAAGCTCAACCCCCGCAAAAACACAACTAGTAAACACACACACACACACACTGTGATGTGGCTGTGTACTGCACAGACACATCAGGAGAAAGACAACAGTGAAGGAACAGGTAATGAAACTGAGGATAGGGGCAGACAGATTCACTACAAATGACAAAGAAGTGTGTGAGGAACTCATTATGACATTCCAGGAAGTCTTCACATTAGAGCAAGGGGAAGTTCCAGAGATAAGAGAAGAAATAATTAACCAGGCAACCAGGCACCACTAGAGGAATTTGAGATTACCAGTGGAGATGGAATGGCCCGGATGGAATATCACAATGGATACTAAAGGAAGGAGCAGAAGCACTGTGCCTGTCACTCTTCATGGTGTATAACAAATCACTGGTAACAGGTGAACTGCCAGAAATTTGGAAGGTGGCAAACGTAGTCCGGATATACAAGAAGGGGGATAGACAGGAGGCACTGAACTACATGCCAGTATCCCTAACTTGCATACCATGAAAGCTAATGGAGAAAATTATGCGAAAAAAGCTTGTCGAACACCTGGAGCAAAGGAACTTTGTGTCACAACACCAACATGGTTTCAGGGATGGCATGTCATGCCTCACAGGATTAATTGATTTCTACGATCAGGAAACAAGAATCAGACAAGAAAGAGAGGGGTGGGCAGACTGCATATTTTTGGATTGCCAGAAAGCCTTTGACACAGTGCCACACCAGAGACTAGTGCGAAAGCTGGAGATGCAGACTGGAGTGAAAGGGAAGGTACTCCACTGGATAATGGAGTACCTAAGTAACAGAAGGCAGCGAGTTACTGTGCGGGGTTTGGTCTCAGATTGGCGAGACCAGTGGGGTCCCGCAGGGTTCATTCCTTGGACCCATACTGTTTCTAATATATGTAAATGATCTTCCAGATGGTATTGAATCATTCCTCTCATTGTTTGCTGATGATGCAAAATTTATGAGGAGGATTAAGACAGAGGAAGACAGTATGAGACTACAAGATGACCTAGACAGACTGCACGAATGGTCCAACAAATGGCTACTAAAGTTCAACCCGAGTAAATGTAAGGTAATGAAACTAGGCAGTGGAAACAGGAGGCCAGACACAGGATATAGAATGGGAGATGAAGTCCTTTATGAAACGGACAGAGAGAAGGATCTAGGAATTGATATCACACCAACCCTTTCTCCTGAAGCCCACATCAAAAGAATAACATCTGGGGCGTATGCGAGGCTGGCTAATATCAGAACTGCTTTCAGGAACCTGTGTAAGGAATCATTCAGAACCTTGTATACCACATATGTAAGACCAATCCTGGTGTATGCAGCCCCAGCATGGAGCCCGTACCTCGTCAAGCACAAGGCGAAGCTCGAAAAAGTTCAGAGATATGCCACTAGGCTAGTACCAGAACTAAGAGGCATGAGTTACGAAGAAAGGGTGCGAGAAATGCACCTCACGACACTAGAAGACAGAAGAGTAAGGGGAGACATGATCACTACTTACAAAATTCTCAGAGGAATTGAAAGGGAAGATAAAGATAATCTGTTTAACATGCGTAGTACGCGAACACGGGGACACTGGTGGAAAATGAGTACCCAAATGAGCCTCAGGGACGTTAGAAAGAACTTTATCAGTGTCAGAGTAGTTAACAGATGGAACGCATTAGGCAGTGATGTGGTGGAGGCTGACTCCATACACAGTTTCAAATGTAGATATGATAGAGCCCAGTAGGCTCAGAAATCTGTACATCAGTTGATTGACAATTGAGAGGCGGGACCAAAGAGCCAGAGCTCAACCCCCGCAAGCACAATTAGGTGAGTACACACACACACACATACATACTTTCATGGGAGACTTCAACCATGGGAAGATAGATGGGGAGAACAGAGACCCACATGGAGGACCAGACACATGGAGAGCTAAGCTGCTGGACGTAGCAAGAAGAAACTTTCCAAGCCAACACTTCAAGGGACCGACAAGAATGAGAGGAGAGGATGAACCAGCTATGTTTGATCTAATATTTACCCTAAATGAGTCGGATATAAGGAAAATTAAGTTGGAAGCCCCCTTGGGAATGAGTGATCACAGTGTAATAAGTTTTGAGTACCTGGTAGAGCTAGGAATTATCTCCCCCCCCCAAAAAAAAAAAGAACTGAAAAACGTACTGAAAGGGAAATTATGAGGAGATGAGAAAATTCCTAGGGGATATACCATGGGACCCAGAACTCACAACTAAAGTCCGTACAAGACATGATGTCACCCAAAAGTATCAAGAGGCAGTAAACAGGTTTATCCCGACCCGACAGGAAAAAATCCGGTAAGCAAAAGAAGAATCCGTGGTTTAATAGGGCATGTATGGAAGCAAAGGAACTGAACAAAAGGGCGTGGAGGAACTTCCGAAATAACAGAACACCAGACAGTAGAGAGAGATACCAGAGAACCAGGAATGAGTATGTTAGTGTGAGAAGAGCAGCTGAGAAAAAGCATGAAAAAGATATAGCTAATAATGCCAAGACCGAACCAAAGCAACTACACAGTCACATCAGGAGGAAAACAACAGTGAAGGAACAGGTTATTAAACTTAGGGGCCAGCAAATATGCCAAAAATGAAAACTGATTCGATTTCAATCAAACTTTTTTGACGAGTTGTATATGAAAAGGGTTTCATCTGGTCCAAGTCTCAGCACCGTAGCACAATAGGAAGGGAGAAAAAAAATATTGAATTGTGTCAAAATTTTCCAAAATGGTCAAAAACGATTATCAAACACAAGTGTCAACTGAAATCATGTCTATGACTCTCAGCTATCACAATATCATATATTAAAAAATATATAATTAGTTTTATTAAAAAAAATTAAGTTACAAAAAATCAAATTTTATTTTTCCTATTTCTTTATCAGACGATTTGCATGAAACTTATACATCTGACTGCACATAAGCCTATCAGTAAGGGTGCCAATTTTGGAGGAAATTGGTTTATGTAAACCTCAGCTACAAATGGCAGCACCTTAGACTTTAATATTTAATGATTTATTTTTTAAGTAACATAAATGAGTCGGTACTCTTTCATTTTTATTCAATTTACATGAAACTCACACCTTATATGTAACGTTTATGTCTCTAAAAAGTGTAGGAAGCGTTTTTTTTTCCTAAGTTTATTTATTGATTTTATAAATAGCCTTAAACATGATATATTTGCATAATTTTGGGGGGGAACTTTGACTATTTGTATTAAGAAAACTAAAGATGTTTTGAAAAATCCCTTCCTACAGATCCTTTATTATATGCTAATGTGTCAGAAAAGTGTCATAGAATGATTATATTTAAAAAGGTGAAAGGTCTCAACTCATTTGAATATGTGTAATATTCGTTGAAAAAAAAAAAAATTAAATCTCCCTTTCTGTTTAGGGTGCAGTACTGAAACTTGGAACAATTGCAGCCCTTTTTATATACAGCTAGTCAAAAAATATTGGTTGACATTGAACAACTTTTTATGAACTATCCTCTTGTCCCCCATAGAACGGGTGAGGACAGGTATACAGAGAATGACAAAGAGGTGTGTGAAGAACTTATCAAGAGGTTACAGGAAGTCTTCACCAATAGAACAAGGAGAGGTCACTCTGCTAGGAGAGGTGGCAGTAAATCAGGCGGCCTTTCTGGACATGAGAAAGGCTGTTGGCCCAGACGAAATCTCACCATGGATATTGAAAGAGTGTGCAGAAGCGCTTTGCTTGCCACTCTCCATAGTGTATAGTAGGTCACTGGAAACGGGAGATCTACCAGAAATATGAAAGACGGCTAATGTAGTCCCAATATACAACAAGGGTGACAGACAAGAGGCACTGAACTACAGGCCAGTGTCCTTAACTTGTATATCATGCAAGGTGATGGAGACGATCGTGAGAAAAAAAACTAGTAACACATCTGGAGAGAAGGGACTTCGTGACAACCCATCAACATGGGTTCAGGGGGGGGGGGTAAATCTTGCCTTACAGACTTCATAGAATTCTACAATCAGGTGACAAAGATTAAGCAAGAAAGAAAAGGAT